TGCAGTGGGTCAACATGAACAGGGACATTTCTGGTCTTACTAGAAATAGGGTCATTGTATCAGTGACACAGAAACTGGGGCCTGAACTGAATGGGGACATTGCACCACCCACCAGGAAAGAGGCCCATGGGCTCTTGGCCAAGCTATGACCTCCATGAGTACTCCATTAAGTGACCTAGACATCGGAAGAAGCTCAATGGGAGTTTGAAATGAACCACAAGGTGCAAATCCAGGGTAAACCGAATTTTGCTACCCACAGTCCTCATGGAACTACTTGTTCTGGTCTTTAGTAAACAAATAGCATTTTCTTTAGAGGAGGTACCCCGTGTCTCCAGAACCCTTTCATAGCAACAACATTTGAGAAAAGAATATCTCAACCTAAAAGTTAATGATCCACAGCGGGAATCGCTTATGCTGCTGCAGTTGCATAGAGCCTTCCCAAACTGAAAATAATATATATCCCCCATAATGAACAATGAAAATACTGAATATTAATGACAATATAAATATAAATTTAGGGAGCAGGCCACTGCAGTCTACTCTGTTCCACCGGGCAAAAAAAAAATCCAGTATATAACCAGGAGGCTTGCGGAGCATGTGTGGTGCATTATGAATTCCCACGGTTACTGTAACTCCATATATAATGAGCAGCCCATGAATCTATTTGGATTGGTTATCATAATGGGAAAGAATTAAGTATGGCTTAATGCTAACTTTTTATACTTGGGTCCATTTTTTGATGGTACCTTTGTGCTACTTAAAGTTCATGGGCCAAATTCAACTGGTTTGTAACTTCATTGGAACTGATGGCACTCTGGCAGCTGAGGTGCAGTTAGCCTCAACCTTATAAAAATGAGTAAAACCCCTAAACCCCGGCTGATAGCTCTGCAGCCACTGTCACTCTCCATGCTCAGAAACGCACACTCCTCTGTGTGCAGAAAGGCATCCTGCAAACCGGCTCCTTTTGCTTCTGGAACAGATACAGGGTGTCAGTGGATTATATGCAAAACAAAAAATGGGAGCGTAATTGCACTGTGGGTATGAGGAGTCTTTTATTTGTTTGCCTATGAAGTGGCTCGTGGAATAGCATGGGACATTGTTTTTCCATCTGTTACATACTCTCATCAGAAGAAAAAATGTTATTTTGTAAGTAACATAGTAGTGGCTTATTATTTCTTAAAGTAAAGTAAAGTATAGTATTTTCCCCTGAGCAGAGTGTAGTCTGTAGTTCTGTCACATTAGCTGGCATAAACATTTTGATTAAAGCTTATGAATGTATTAATTACACCTGGGAAGTTTCCAAAGCTTATTGAAACTGCAAACTCTTCAAACTGCAGCCCCCAAATCTGAATTCTTTTTAGCAAATGTAAAAATGGCTATCGCAGGGTTGTCTTTTCTTTCTCTAGGATGTTTGTTTAAAGACATGAGGTGGCAAGGGTGCAAATTTTTTTACCCATTGGTTTCTGTAAGCTGCTTTTCAGAAAGTCTTCAAGTGTCTGTAGAATTTTTTATTGTCATGTTGTCAAACATTTGCTTGAAGTCTAAAGATTTTAATTCTGTTTCAAGTTTTCTCTGATATCCTAGGTCTAGCAACATCTGCACATACATGAGCATTTATCAGAATAACATATGGGTATCTGACCCCTAACAGGATGATAACACTGGAACGTAGGCTGTGTAGCTGGAGCTGTATAAATAAATAGAGCTATCAAAACCAGAAATAGTCCTAATGAACTGTCTGGAAATATTGATAAAGTTGGTCCATGTGATTCCCTTTGCTCGTATTCCCATGGTGGATTGCTTATGGTGCAAGAAAGGGCAGAATCTGACCAGCAAAGCCTATGAAGTTGTTTGGGTATCACTATTTTTCTGCAAGTAACATGAACAAGTTCTTACAACAACCTTCAACTGGATTAGGTTGCATGGCGCATCGACGATGAGATAGAAGCAAATGTAACAGAGGATCTGAATTCTAAAATCACTGGGCATATGACCCCAAAAAGAAAGGCATATCTTATCTATCAACCGTCTGTGCCTCCGCCAAACAACCCAAGAAGTCTCACCTAAGCGGTGCTTTGCTCATGCATTCATGCACGCATGCATTCATTATGACTGACCTGCCCTAGGAAGGTCCATTAAATGGAACTCATTTCAAGCACAGATGGTCCTGAATAGCTTAATGTCTGCCTGGTGGCCAGAATAAGTGAATTCTTGATGGCCTTAGACTTCTGATCACATACATGCAGCCAAGGAGGAAATGAAAACATGTTTATCATTTTGATAAACAACCTCTCTCATTGCTGCAGGATGCTCCATGTAACTCAGCAGAGTCAAATACTATTAAATTGTCATCACTGTCAAAGAGAGAACGTATAAGTTTTGCTACCTGAGTCATAGTTAATGACTTCCACAATGTATAACACAAATCAGTACTGCTGTTTGCCTTTTTTATGTTTGTTTACTGATAAGTTCAGGCTTGGCTAGAATACAGAGGCGAGTTATAATTTTGAAGTGCAAAATATGCTTTTATTATTACCTCTCAGCTGGAGATATAAAAAACAGAGATGACTAGAAGATGGCTTTTTGGCTTCTGCCAGGCATGCACTCAGACCCTACAGATGATTAGATATTTTAAATCACAGCCACCCACAGTAGGCTCATACTTATGATAAAATATTTCACTCTGTGGTGTGTAAACTCAAGGTGGCTTTATAACAGAGATAAAAATGAACATGATTTCAGGGGTTTAGGGTCCTCTAATTAGAATTAAGCCATTTGCAGGAGTAACAAACAGTCGTCCCTGTTTTACAGTAAGAATGATGTATACTTTCTGCAGTTTTGTATTTTAAGCCTATGCAGAACAAAGACTTCTGCAAGGCTAGGAAATATGAGCAGAGTTGTAATGCCACAGGTAGGTGCTACCTTCAACAGCCCAGAATCCTTCCCAGCAGCCAGTTCTGTCCCTCTTGCTTTGGTAAGCATCACGTTTCCTTCATGCAAAGCCAAGGGCATCCTGTGAACGGAGGTGTCATGTCCTGCTAATGTTTGGTGTGAGGAGGATATAAGCCACCTTAGGACATTTGCGTTTACCTCTCAAGCTTCTTGAAGAAAGAGCAAAGCTATTCCTGGTTTGCAAGTTCCTATTCCATTTCTAATCCTTTTTAAGGAGGGAATTAAAAAAACATAAGATATTTTTCTTGCCAGGTGGATAAAGCAGCCACTGCATGAAATGTAACTGTCAACAAAACATTCAGAAGACACTTACTGAGAGGATTTTTAGGGCCCTTTCCTCTCCTTTTAAGATCAATGGCAAATCCCCTATTGACTTGAATGGGTTGGATGAGGCTGTTATTGTGGAAACAAAGCCAGAAGCTACCTTAGCTCAATAGACCATAAACCTCAAAAAAAAGACATTTCTGTTCTTTGTGACAAGGATTTAAACTTTAGCTGCACTCACAGCATATCAGGTCAATAATTCACATTTTTTCAGGACTCCCAGCACTGTAACATCTCAACAGGTCTTCCCGTAATCTAGAAGAACCACTGAGAAAAAATCACTGGCTCAGACGCAGAAGTCCTCAGATACTGATATTACAGCATTTCTTGGTACTCTTCCCCACCCCACCCCACCCCACCCCCAAAAGAAAGTTGAAAATAAACAATAAAAAACACAGAATAAAAAGGTACCTCACATATACATCTGAACATGTTCAATTTTTTTTTGCAGTGGAAACTGAAGACTGATTCGTGTTCCTCTCCCTGCTCTAACTTGTTTCCTCATTTGTACAGCTGAAATAGAGATTTAATTTGAATCCCCCCCAGTATATTTGTGGTATATATATTTCAGTGACTAACGTATCTGAGAGTGTGTTTTTTTCAGTGAGGCATTTTCCTAGTCTCACTGTGTCCTTTTGTATTTGTCTGGGTACCTCTATCTATTCCCATTTCATATACGGCTTTTGAAAAGTCTAACGTGTATAGGCGTGGTTGCTAAAACATATAACAGCAAAACTCACTGCATGCAATGCTATCCAGTAGTCTTTCATAGGCTAAACATGCTTTAATAGAAAAATCTGATCCCATGTAACAAATTTTCGAGGAAAACCAGGTGTGTAACATGCATAACTTTCTCCATGTGAGATGGATTTTTTCTTCTGTGTCAGCACTGGGAAGGGTCTTTTTATTACTGTTATTACTATTGTTTGCAATACAGTTATAGCCCATGCAGATAGAAGTTCCAATTAATGTACTTAACTGTCTGGTGGTAAAAAAAGTGGCTTTTCATTGCTTTTATAGTTTCATTATGTTTTGCCACTCCTAAACAACTATACACTTTGAGTTAAATTCTTTATTGCTGCAGCAACTTGAGCTTCCACATAACAATTAAAGGTGTTATAAAGCTCATCCACTGCAACCCATTATTTTGGATAGATAACCAAATAAGCAAGACTAGCTCATGTGGTTATTAGTACTCATACAGCAAATTAATAGAGAAAATTACACATTTAGCTTATTCACGGATATTTACTATGCAGTCCATGTAGTCTAAAATTAGAAATGCTTATTACTAAGTACAATATCTTTATTGTTGAGGTTGCAATCAATAAAATCACAAATATTTCTTCTCTAAGGGCATGGCCATAAGATGAATTAAACCAATGAGAATTTTTTCATTGCTTTCAATATGATTTGGATGGGGGAACAGGGAGTTTATCTGAAGAATAACTTTATAGAAAAATACAAGCATTTGGGGCTGAGTTGATTGTCACAGTTCCTCTTGCTCCTGAGAGACACTTAAAAGACCATTTGTCAGATGATGGCTTTCTGAGTTGTTGGGAACTCTCTTCTGTGGCACCTATTCGCTTTCAAAAAGCTTGTGTCAGCAGGCCAAATGCACCTAATAACTAATACATGAAGCAGAATTTCTCTCCAGATGAGTTAAATGTTTACTGCAGAGTTAGGCTTGTCTCATGCCTGCAAACTCATCAGTGCTTAACCCCATGACCATGCAACCTAAGCTCATTTGCCCTAATGGACAGGCTCTCATCCATGCCCTGGAAGGTCAGTGGTTTGAAAATGTAATATTATAAAGCATTTCCACACTTTGTGGAGTCCCTGTTCCTTGCTAGTTGCACCACTTAATACTGTGGGTACACCTTATGGCACACCGCCATATGACCTTAACAGCATACAGTCGAGGGACAGTCCTCCCTGCCCATCTACCCCAGTGCTTCACTACAGAAATACCACATTTGTAGAATCACCAGATAACAGGACTCCCTCCTGCCCAGGGAGATGCCACTGGACTCCCAGACCTCTTCCAAAATCCCTTGTTGACAGCCAGATGTGGATCAGCATCTCCACGCTGCTTATACTCCTACCTGGCTGCAGGGTTACTATAGCGTTCAGAAGCTCCCCAAGCTGTTTCAAGAAGAAAAGTGAAAGGCAAAGCTAGGAATAATGCTTTTTATGCTATAGTAAAAGCAATGTACAGTTAGCATTTCATAGTGGCATAAAGTAACGATGCTTTCTTTTCTAGCAAACCTTACACTTCCTGCACTTCAGTAGGCTGTGCACGATGTTTTGTGCTAAGTTTAAATAAATCCTGCCAAATTTATGCTGCAGTTTCATGAAGTAGCCAAGTATGTGGGGGGAACAGACTGGCACTATTAAATACTTGGTGATTATGAGCTAAATACAGTCTGAACTGAGGAATCAAGAAATTACTTGGGCAGTGCATTAGCCCACTGTGGTGTCTCACCTCCTCGCACTGCACTGCTAAGGTGAATGGGAATATACACCCGACGCTTCATTTCTGTGCATAACATATGCCACAGACACCAAGAATTCATAAACCTGAAGCCACCATCTATCTGTCTATCACTCCTTTGTGTTTTCCACCTAATCAAACTATTGCAAATGTTCATAATGAACAATTAGGGAGAAGACAAATTAAGCCTGGTGATCTTGCACACCATGGAAATGTTTCCTGCCCTTAAAACTGCCAATTTAGCAAGTGGGGTAGCAAAAGGAAGGGCTGTTGAACCATCCTGTAATTTGCAGAGGCTGATTGTCATTCCCTAAGGGCTGAGTACTGGTGTAGAATCAAATTCGTGGAGAAAAGCTTATTTCTATATAGATTCCCTTAGCCCCTGTCCTTGTCCAAGAGAATATTTGGGAGAAGAGGCCTCCAATATTACAAGCATAAAATCAGCCAACAGTTGTTACACATTTACTGTGCTATCTTACCTACATTTCATCAGGCCCGGACCTTGACTCAGTCATTTTTAGGCCAAAGAGTCAGCTGATGTCAGAGAAGCTTCTAATATAAGACAGGCAAGCTATATCTACTCTAGAGGGACGTTTCTCTGCATTTCCTATTAAAACTGAAATATAGCAGTGCCTGGCTTATTCAGGAGCACATATAATAGGAGAAATAACTTAGTAATCCCACCTGTATAGAAGCTGTGCAGAGACACAGACAGGAGCACGCCTGGGTGCTTTGATTAGCCACTGCTGCTCTTCCTAATCAGAGTGTCAATATTCTCTTTTTCTTTTTTCTTTTTTTTCTTTTTTCTTTTTTGCCAGAAGGAGGAACGTGTGAAGTTATAGCAGCACACAGATGCTGTAATAAGAATCGAATTGAGGAAAGATCACAAACAGTAAAATGCTCCTGTCTACCTGGGAAAGTGGCTGGGACTACAAGAAACAGACCTTCCTGTGTTGATGGCAAGTAGCTCCTCCTGTATATATGTCTCTGTTTGTGTACCATCCAGCAAATAGCTTTAAGTCTATAGATTATGCATAGGAACTTTGTTGTGGCCTCCATTTAACAAAACAGAAAAATCTATAAGCATAAACATACATTTACACCACCTTGCCTACTACTCCAGTGCACGTGGGTCACATTAAGATTTACTGACCAAAATGAGAGTCTAGCATTCAGTACAGGCCCTTAGATAAGTATAACAGATGCTGTGGCAGGATCAAGCCCTTAATAAATATCTGGACAAAATTATCCCTTGCGTCACTTCACAGGGCTCCCCCACCGGTGCCACATTAGTTTTGATTCATAAATATTTCAAAAGACAACAACCATTCATTTTGATTTAATTAGCCATTTGAAAAGTCAGTGGCAAAAAAGATAAATTATTCCTGTGGTCTTGTCCTGTAACAAACATTACAGTAAGCTAGGAAAAATCTTTGTCTTTTGAAATCTCTGGTGCTGTTTCTTGTCATGGGTATGTTTTGCTGAAGGAAAAACACCATGTTATTTGTGTCTGGGTCTCATATCAGGTCTAGCTCCACAGGGCGTATCTCTCCCTGGGGCTCCCCTGCCACCGCTGCAAGGTGAACCCATGCAGTAATCGGGGAGAGAGCCGTGGCTTGGAAGTGCTTAGCAAAATATAAATCACATAAGAGGACGGGGAGTAAGTGGCACTAATCCCATTAGTTACCCTTTCCAAACAAGCCACTCCGTGTTGCAGAATCCCTCTGTGCAGCAGCTTTGTGGAACAGTATATCCCATAAAAGTTCTCCGCTACTCTTTATGGTAAAGGTCTGTGCCATTATATATACCACCCCGCAGCCCAAAGGTGCTTCAAAGATCCAGGGGTCATTTTGGCTAGAGACGAGGTGGGCACTGCCCGGGGCTCTCCTCATCCTTCCCGTGGCTGGATGTCCAGGGGTGGCAGCATAGCTGCCAGTTTTGGAACCACCCAATATTTCCTCCTTGAGACTGTTGTTTGGCATTCAGCTTCCCCCCAGGTGAGCAAGAGGGGGGAGCTGTACAAGCAAATATTGGGAAAAATGGTTTCTTCTGGGTTCCTTTCCCCAATCACATGCTGCAAAGGCGCTAGCAAGGGAGCAGGGGCTGTTCCAGCTGTAGCCCCAAGTTAGACAGGAGTACTGGTGGGCATGGGGGACTGTGTAGGCAAAGCTCTGGGGCTTGCACATTGAACACTAAAATGATGAGAGATCAGGGGTGCCGTGGAGGGAGGAGAACCTCATGCTTTCGCAGGGAGTATTCGTGGTGTGTGTGTATCTGGTTTATAGATAGAAAGAAAATGTTTTATTATTTCAAAAACGCTTTCAAATTTTTAAATTATGAGGCAATAATTCATAGCTTGTTACATTGGGAATGTGATTCATCTTCTGAACTCATGACTAAAAACACACTATGAATGCACCTGTGAAGGACTACGCCTTAATCCACATTCTGTCATTCTGTTGTTGCTTAATTACCCTGATAAAAAAGAAGCTTTTGTTTTTCTGTTAAGCACACTCATAAAACCGTAGGTGAAACCTACAGCTGGTCTTAACCAAAGATCAGCTGTACAAGCCTTGAAGAATTTCATGTTCTTCAGCAGGTCATGAAAAACAGAGGCACCGGATAGAGCAGAGAGACACCATTAATTCAGATCTCATAATTCTGTTCAGAGGAGAGGAGCTCAAAGAATACTGTGTTAAGAAAAAAAGTCAGGTGCAGGTGTGGACTGGAGCCTAATTGCTCTGTCAGGATTACAATAAAAAGAAATGTTATTGTCTGGAATTTTGAAAGGAGTAAGGATAAAACAATGGCTAATATAAAAGTGCAAAGCTAGTCCCATTGAAGTTGCTGGTAAGACTCACAATGACTTCAAAGCCAGCAAACGTGAACTACAAAGGAATGTCTTCCCCTTTCAAGTTTAGCTGTTGTAGTCAGCCCATAGTTTCTTTTGTAGATGGCTGATGAACGGTTCAAAAGCCCAATATGCTGCTCATAAAAATTAATAGAAGGGGCATTTTCTTTGGCCTTTGTTTTATCCCAGACTTTACTTAGTGACTTTTGACACACTGACCTGTTTTAAGTCAAAACTTTGACCTACTTAGTCGTTCTGGTTTTGCTAAGGCAAACTCCCAAAACTTCCCATGGGAGTCCTATTGACATCAGTACTTTAACTCACACAAAGATTTGGGATTTGCTGTTTCTTTCGTACATGAGGACATTTCAAAAGGTCACCTGCAACTTTCTACCTTCTTTACCTTCCATATTGAAAGGATTAAGACCATTTAATCTCACACTGGGTTTTACACGTTATACGATTTCAAGCCATAATCTGTCACTAAGAAAGCTTTCTTGGGACCATTAATTAAAAATCCTTGGGTGCTCGGGTACAGCAGTATACTCGCACCCGAACAGACTGATCACCTTTGAGAAGTGACGAAGACTGGGAGATCCCATGTTAGCAGTTTGGCTCCCATGGGTGGTTGATTATTGCCTCAAGTCATGTCCACCTGATGGCTATTTAGCAGTGTGCATAAAACAAACTGAACCTCAGTCTTGCCCTGTTTCTATCACTGGCCAAACTGTGGCTTAATGGGATCAGAATGAAGCTTTTGGTGGTTCTCAGTCCAATTTCATCACAAAACACCTAATCAAGGCTGATGCTTCAACGGTTTGAGTTCATGTTGCAGAGGAGAGATTGCATTGCTTTCCACTCCCACCAGCCATTGCTCCAGGACACAACCGGGCTGCGCAGGTGGGACTGCGTGGAGAGCTAGCTTTGTCTGCTGTTTAAGAGAGGATACAATTATACGTAGGAGTCAGTTTAACCTTTTTAATAAGTATCAGGGGTGATAAATCATCTTTTTGTCCTCTTGTTGTGAGATCTCATCATGGGTAGCACACCATCGTAGTACGTAGGACTCACATATGCAGTCCTCCTCCTGAATAAACTGAAATCCAGGCAGAGTATGTGTTATTTGTGCTATTAGAAGTGGGAAGTTGCCATGTATTCCCAAGCATCACTTCCTGCCAAGTCCAGCAAACTTTTTCTTTGGGGCCTCATCTTAAAAAAATATAGGGAGGCCAGGCTGTGGCAGCCTCAGAAGTTATAAATTATTTCTTGCTGCTCATTCAGTAGATGCTGTCCTAAACCCTGCCTCAGTCACCAATGAATTGTGTAGAAGCAACAGAGAACAAAACAAAAGTCAAATCTTGTCATGAAACAGAGGTGCCAGCTTCTGTTTCTTTTCCTCTTCTGTTGCATGTTTACTTTCACGATTCCCTTCACTACTTCCAGTTCTTTTTTTTTTTTTGAAGGATGGGTTTGAATGCTCCCTTCCCTCCCTACAATCTATCTCGTGTGTCACTTGGCCGTAGCACATACCACGGGCATCAGTCTGTTCAGCTCGCTCCAAAGCCTGTTGTTATTTTCTCCATTTGCCCATTTACCTCTCCAGAGCAAGTCCCAAAAGGATTTACTTCATCTGTGTTGCAGCAGCTTGAGAGAATCCCTTTTTTTAGGGGGAAAACAGTGTTGAGCATGTCCAGAGAGTCCCCAGCCCTCCTCCTCCAGAGCACAAGGGACCTGTGCAGCTTAGGGCGTTCCTGACCGGCTCCGCAGCAATGCTGGTGGACACGGCGTGTGCATTGGCTGTCTTGAAGGTGCCAGAGCAAGCTCCTGATCTCTCATCCTGCCCAAGCAGGGCCAGCACGGGGCTTGAGTTTGCAGCTCAGGCTGGCATGCAGACCCCTCCAGCTTCACTCTTTGCTGGACCTGCTCTGTCTCGTTTTCCTGTTAGAATCATAGAATCATAGAATCATAGAATGTTTAGGGTTGGAAGGGACCACTAGTGGTCATCTAGTCCAACCCCCCTGCAGTGAGCATGTGCTTTTTGTGTGACGTGCAGGTCATTTCCGCAAGGGTTTCTTAGACATGCTTCTGAATTCGCACCTTTCCTCTCCACTATGTTTACAAACAGCTTTTCTTCCTTGTTTCAGAAGCCCATGAATTTTCCTCCTCCTGCAGTAGGCTCAGTGAGCTTATGAGGGCACTCAGGTGTCAGCACAAATAGCTGGGATTTGTCCCCATGCTAGCTGTCACTAGTACAATTTCTCCCATGGGCTGAGGTTTTAGTCCTTTTCTTTATTAACCAATTTCTTCTTTTGTGGTTATCAAAGTGAGATGTTCTCAGTAATGTCTTCTGCTTCTTTATAGCAAGTCCTCTTACATCTTGCTGGTGGGGTCGGTGGGCACATGATGATTGTCCTTTCAGGTGTCAAGCCCGCATCCTTTAGAAAATCTGTTCACCTCTGTGAATAAAGGTCAGTCAGTGGCTCCAAAATTTTAGTTGTTTTTTCTTCAGTTAATTTTTGGTTTTCCACATAAACTAAAACAATACACTAAAATGAAAAAGAACACACACACACACACCCCATGTATTTCTCTTTTTAAAAAATAGATATTTGACTTTTTAAAGAATTTTTCACCATTTCCAGTACATCTTTCACAGTAAGTGGGACCAAGATTTCTTCTGTTGTTCATGCATAATGTGGAGGCATTCTTAATCTTGTTCATTACTTCATCAGAGCTTTCTTTTCCTGCCCCATCTTCCTTCTAAGTGTGGAACACAGTGAACACAGTGAAACCCTGATGAAAAACTGTGACTTAAATACCTTTAAAATTGCTGTTTGAACCTTTTCTAGATGTACTCAGAATACTCTCAAAATATTTAAATATTATTGGGGGATTTGCATTCACAGTGCCTCCACAAAAGTGTTTTTTATTTTGCTTTTGCTCTCTTACAACCCAAGACATGTTCTTTAAATAAATGGCTGCAGACTGCACTGGGTTTGGTGGTTCTACCAGGTCTTGACATCACATGAGGTTTCATAACATCAGAATAACTTTGTTGTGACAGTATCAAATGGAAAGGTTATACCAACACTGTCATATTTGGGTCAG